ACTAAAGTGAGGGGGAAACAACTTGGTGAACCTGTCTAACCTCTTCAGCTCATCCTTACTAGTAGAACTCCTGGGGTCTGGTAACCATGATCCATCGGCTTCGCAGAATGAGTAGCGGGAGTGTAAACTCCTCCCCCGGCCTAAGAAACGACCGATGCCACAGGAAACATACTGGCCTGAGCCATACTCTCCATGAGACCAACCATGTAGACTAAGGCGTCCTGAAGCAGTAGGGTAGAAATAAACCCCTCTGAAACTTGATCCGGTCCTACGTATATGTCCTCACCATCTGTGAGAGAATAAGAGAAGAAAGATTCAAACTTCATGATAGAACAAAGTCCCACGATAGAGAAAGAAAGAAAGTGCAGTTTCCTAAAGTCTTATAGCCTCTAGAAGATAAGTACAGATGTCTCTGCATCGATCCTCAAGACTCTACCAAGCTTGCTCATGACTCGTGAGACCTATGCAACCTAGGGCTCTGATACCAATTTGTCACGACCCAAAATCTCAACCATGGAACTATGATGGCGTCTAACATTCGCTTGCTAGGCAAGCCAACATTAGCCAAACAATTAAAGAAGTTTAACAATTTAGAAGCACAATAGTAAGAAATAAGAGTAAAATCTCGTGAAATGTATAATAAATTCATAACCATCGTTGTCTAAGACTATTCCCAGAAACTGGTGTCACAAGTACATGAGCCACTAATAATGCTAAATACAAGTCTGAAATAAAAATACAATGTTGTCTGGAATAATAAACATTAGATAGAAGTAGGAATGGGACTCTAGGGTCTGCGATCGCCAAGTAGCACTACCTCAAGTCTCTTGGAAGAAAGGGTCCGAGCTATCGCCTCCGAACGTTGTTGGGACCAATACCGGGATCTGAAGAAGAATTATAGAGGTGTAGTATGAGTAAAACCGATCCCATATACTCAGTAAGTATCGAGCCTAACCTCAACGAAGTAGTGACGAGGCTATGACAAGACACTCACTATGAACCTTTACTAGCAATAGGCAGAGAAGCAATAACGAGATAGAGAAATGACTAACTACATAATAAACGGTACTAGAAAATAAATGACAGAGGGCCCCAAAATATCATCACTTCACAGTCTTACAACACAACACGGTAGCAGGATCTAATAACCAAGAATAACCACAATACATCCTCTCTGTTGCGACGTGCAACCCGGTCCACATATATATAATAATACTGTTGTGGCGTGAAACATGATCCACATATATGATAATATTGTTTTGATGTGCAACTTGATCCACATATATATAATAATATTATTACAGCGTACAATCTAATCCACATATACCAGTAACAACCAAAAGAATCTTACAGCATAACGTAAAAGGGAACCAAAACGCATAATTCTCTAAAGCAATCTAATATAACATAGTAGAGTGAAACAGAAAATAAGTAAAGGCAATAAGACAAGTAAAAGCATAAAATAGTAGAAGCATCTACCTAATAGCACATGAGAGCATATAACAAGTAAAGGCAGACTATAAATAAAGGCATGAATAAGTGTAAGCATGTAGCAAATAGAGACATGTAACAAGTGAAGGCATGTATTTAACAAGTAAAGACATGTAGCAAGTAGGAGCGCATAACAAGTAAAAATATGGAATAAATTAAGACACGGTATAATTAAGAACATACAATAAAGCGGTAGCATGTTTGAACCCATGACAATCCATATGCACTAATCGCCTTGCATAAATATTGTCCCCACATATAAATCACGTAGAAAATAGACCAATCAAGTCCTAATTCCCTCAAATCAAGGTTAACCGCGATAGTTACCTTTATCCAGAACAATGTCAACAATTCAACACGGCTTTTCTTTTAGAACAATCCTCCAAATCACCTGAATCTAGTCAATTATTGTTCAAACAAGTCAAAGCAATCTTTCGAAACTACCCGCGAATGAAAAAGGTTCAATCTTTAACATAATTTAAAGAGTCAACAAAAAGTCAACCCGGGCTCACATGGTCGAAATCCAAAATTAAGACCAAATCCCGACTACCCATTCACCCCCGAGCCCGAATATGCAATTTATTTCGAAATTTGACCTCAGTTCGAGGTCTAAATCTCAATTTTACAAAATTCCTACAGTCTACCCAAAACCCCAATTTCTAGTTTATGAAATCTTAGATTTGATAATGAAAATTCATGAAAAAATAATGAAAATAAGTTAAAGTAACTAACCTATGAAGTTAGGAAGAAATTGCTCTCCAAAAATCGCCTCTTTGGAGTCTAGGTTTCAAAAATATTGTAAAATGAGCTAAGTCCCAAAATTTCTAACTTTTTGCGATGTTCGCAAAAGCAAACCACTGATCGCAACTGTGATCGGTGCATGAGCTCATCTAATGTCGCAAATGCGACACTATGATTACAAATACGAACCTGGGATCATCGCAAAAAGCGGAATTAGCTTCGCAAAAGCGAAGTTGTCCCCTATTCTCCGGAGTGCAAATGCAATAACTCAATCGCAATTGTGAAGGCCACCTCCCTCGCAAAAGCAGACATAGCTTCGCAAATGTGAAGCTGTCCAACCCTCCTCTAGCATCGCAAAAGCGACAAGGACTTCACAAATGCGAAGTCTTCCAGCCCCTGCCCAACATTGCAAATATGAGCCTCACTTCGCAAAAGCAAAACTTGCATTTGCGAACAGGTCATCGCAAATGCGAGACCCGCAGTTCAGCTACACCAGAAATCTCCCAGCTATGCAAAATCATCTGCAACCCATCCAAAACTCACCCGAGCCTCTCGGGCCCTAGTACGAACATTCACACAAGTGTAATAACATTATACAAACTCACTCGTAAGCTCAAATCATCAAAATAACATCAAAAATCAAAAATCGATCATCAAAACTCAAGATTTATAAAGTTCAAAACTCAATTTTCTAACTTTTCACATAAAGTTACTATTTTCTAGGACCTTGTCACTGCATTAATTATTGATATTGCTTATTGATATTACTTTTTCAGGTATATTTTCTGACTCGTGGCTTGCTGGTACTACCTTTCTGGTTATGTTGTTGGTACTATTCTATTGTCGCATTTCATCTTCTTGTGCTGAGGGTCTATTCGGAAACAGCCTCCTTACCCCCAGGGTAGGGGTAAGGTCTGCGGACACACTACCCTCTTCAGACCCCACTTGTGGGATTATACTGGGTTGTTATTGTCACATAAAGTGCTAAAGTGGCCTCGGGTCACCCCGGACCCCAACCAAACATGCGTACAAGTCCAAAATCATCATACAGATCTATCGGAATCGTCAAAACAACGATCCGAGGTCGTTTACCAAAAACGTTGACCGTGGTCAATTCTAGCCATTTTCAAAGATTAAAAAATACATTTTTAAAAAAAAATCACATTTAAACTTTCCAGAAATCGACACGGACCGCGCACACAAGTCATAAATAATCAAATCGAGCTATTGAAATACAAAAAGGGGAAGCTAGTACTCAAAACGACCTATCGGGTCATTACATCAAATATAACACAGATGATGTATTTGGTAATCCAGGTAAGAGTGTATTGATGTGGTGGGAAGAGTATATCAAGCTGAAGGCGATCCCCATAACTACAGTTTTTGGGTATTGTTTGGCATAATGCACGTTGCTATCACGGTTTGGAGCACAATCAATTGCCAATTCTTGCAAGCAATCATCCATCATAGATGGGATTAATCATACCTTATCATAGACGCGTCTAATTCTTTGGAGATTCTCAATGCAGCATGCGCTGAAATTCATGGATCCAAATTGATCGGAGAAAAAAATCGCGCTACACAAAATTTGAGGAAAGATAGAGAACTTTTTATGCTTTCCTGATCAAATTAAGAGTTCACTTTGCTAGTCAACTAATACTTCACACCAGTAGTTTAAGGAATTGGTCAGCTACGAGTTGGAGCCTGACTCGAAAAAATTAAGATTTAGGGTAGATTCAATACCCAAAGTTTGCGTTTTGATTCATAGGAGTTCCAGATATTGTTTTTCATTTCACGTATCGCCCTCCCACCCAATTTTTACTGGTAAAAAGATGGTCTCATTTTGCTGATACATTGAAGCCACATAGAGGAATGTTTTAACTTTTTCAATTGCTCAGAAATACATTGGGAGCTTTTAATTGTTGAAGAACATGCTTCAAATTACTACATATAGTCTTTTTGTTAATGTCTGTAGACTAATTTGATAGTTTTCAGGGTATATGAATTTTTTTATTTTTCTACATGACTCCATCGTGGCAAATGCCAGAGTCAAGCTAGCCAGCCATTAAAGGAAAGATCACGTGGGACAAAATTATAATGGAAAATGTTAGACAAATCACATACTGTGGGTTAAGTTTATACCTTTTCCCTTTAAAAAATGGACCTCATTACAACTAAGCTTGAAAAGTCGCTCATACCTAATCAAATGCGATCAAACTTGAGACAAAAGTTAAGAGGCAAAATCATTAGCCGCAAATTCTCAACTTGATACCTAACGGTCGGAGCCATGCAATAGATGTTGGAAATGCAGAATTGCAAGTCCACCAACCAGTCCTCTTCCAAAGGACAAAAGGAGATAGGTCCATCCATTCAACCAGCTATTTTGGTTGATCATCTCGACCATCAAGAAATCAGCAAGCACGACTACTCATAAGCTCATGGATCAGAGCACAGCATTTCAGTTTCAGGTATGTTCCATGAAATCTTTGCTCGTTTGATGAATCAATAAACCATCGTCTACTATGAATCATACAAAATCATATTTTCTTATTATGATGGTAAAGATCCTGTATTAATCATGCTATGATAGTAGCCAACACCTTGTAAGTAATAGACCAACCCAATGTATCCAAACTTGGGAGACGCAATGGCGGCTGTGGATCGGAACGTTAGGACAGCAAGCAACCAGGGTGGAGAATGAGGGTATTTGTGATCACGTAAAACCAACGACTATCTAAGATTGAGCCAAAAGATTACAGAACCCGAGCTGGGAAACAACCATGAAATTTCAGGGGGGAAAATGAATCAATTGAAATCTGACACATACAAAGACGAATAATATACCAAAAATCATAACATGCTTCACAATTCCTTCTTTAACTAATAGTACCAAACAGAACTACACAATCTGCCAAGTGGGGACAAACAGACATTTCATTGTCCATCACAAACCACACTCCATTTACATGATCACTCCTCTCGTATTTCTTGCTTTCAATCATATCCAGGTAAGAAAAGTATCAATACCTGATCCCGGGGGTTGATTTCCATCATTAACTACCCTCTAGCATATTAGCGAATAGGGTGGTACTGTGTGATCCCTCGCTTTGGAGGCAACTTCCTCAAAATAAAAAGGACAAGTGAAGAAGGCAGTATCTCCACCAACTGCAAAGAGTTTAAGAAGTTTGCTTAATCTCAAACATAAAGAGTTTAAGAAGTTTGCTTAATCTCAAACATATAAACAAGTATTACTCCACCTTTCATGCACTTTCTACCCGGCAACCTCAAAGTAAAAAGCACCATATCCAAGAATGCACTCACAATTTGATATTTAGATCAAACCAAGGTTTAGCTAGGACACAAAACCAAATGAAAGAAATAACCATGCTTTAATTTCAGAACAGGATTTCCGCTCCTTCTGTCTCAAATATTTCACCACAATCTTAAGATTGAAGCCAATTTTCAATGTAACCAAAAATGTCAACCAAGAGAGAAATCTGAATTCATGGCATAAGCAAGAAACTCCTATCCCCAAACCAAAAGACAATAGAAAAGTTGGCACATAAAAACAGGTCGTAAGATGCCACAAGCTGATATATCATGTGAGTTATCCAAGTTGGTCATGATTTGGCAATTATTAAATACAGAATACTGACTGTCAATAGTTCTCTTTTTCATTATGGCACAACGACCAATATGCACACCTAAAGAAGTACTACCAAAAGTTCAATGATATGGAGCTTACCAGGTAATATATCAAATTCAAAATTGGATGATCCAAAACATCAAGATCTGCAGCTTTATTAAATGCATTGAAGCACATCTGTGGCAAAGAAACACTTACTATTAAGCCATATAGAAGAACCACATTGGCTTCATGCCCTTTATAAACAAAGCTAATGCATCAGCCAAGACTTTATTATAAAAGGTGGTGCTCGGGCCAGCTTGCACGCATATCAACTAAGACTAATTTGTTGTATCAAGAAGGTACTAGAGAAAAAGAAACCATCTAAAGCAAAACATAGATTACATTCACACCCGACAAACATGGTGGAACTACTTACGGGGCTCTCACCTAGCAATAAGTCAGTTAAAGATTGCTTATATCACAAAGAATACAGACTTACCATAACGCATCTAATGAGGAAGCATGAAAAACATATTGTTGTGACATAGCCAACCTGCAGAAGCCCAAATGTACGAGCAGTCAAAATACCTAAAATAAGAAGAAACAACCATCCAAAAAGAAAAATACTAACAAAGATACTAATAATGTACCTCCTGTAGCTTTTTGCGTCTTCCTTTTGATTCTACTGGAAACCGCTGTAACATAAGGAAAAGCCTGGAAGGAAGTGATAGAAGATCAAGGCAAATTGTGAGGTGATATTGAAGGATGAATATGAACGACACACAAGTTGCACGGACCTAATTCTTCAAACGTAAGAGTAAGCAAGGTATCCAAGTGTGGATATAGCAAAGGTCAATCCACAAACTAAACAAGCATATGATATCCACTTTAGGAGCACCAAAAGCACTTTATCGAAGTATCTTATCATTTTAATAACTATTTTCATTTTCTAACAGCATGTTTCAACAATACTATGCAGCTGTTTGCGTTAGTACAAACGAATTAAGATGTGAAAAGCTAAGAAAGCAGTGTAGTCAAGGGCAAAAAGTGTCTAAAGGCCCCAAGATATGCTGAGCCTTTAAGTGCAAAATATGATTAAATAGTGGGCTTCAGCAAAGAAAATTATAAACACAAAGAAAAATTTCTGGACAGCAGAATGGAAAAGCAATAATAAAGCCAAATGTATGACATAAAAATCATCTAGATCAAGTTCAAAAATCACTTTTCCAACCAACAAGACAGATACTGCTTATCTGCCTCAGATGTTTGTCATATGCATCTAAAGCCTAAACAATATTATATGTTCTACGATGTTGCAGCTGTGAATACACATGTCACCTTCAGTTCCAAGACATCCCTATTTTCTGCACTCAATGCTTTTCTATCTATACAAAGGGGAGAAAGAGAATCTAACTATGTGAAAAGTATGACAAACTGACAACAGTCGCCAACACAGCTGAAAGGCAAACCATCAAAAGACTGATAAATTACTTAATCCACCACATTTTTGGCCTTAGTTATTCTTTTGCGACCCTCTTACATCCCTAGCTATTTAGTACTTTCCATCATGTTTGTATCTTGAAATGTTCTTAAATCAACAACACAAAAACTACTGCAAGAGAGGGGATGATTGTACTTTCTTCAATCATCCATCATCTTCAACTTCTAGCTCACCGTTTCTTCCCCTTCTAGGTCCATTAGATATCGCTATACCATGGAATGCCAATATGCTGTACTTTTATAGTGCCAATGTTCATATATTTTATGCATGGCAGATCAGTGTCTATTCTACCAGCTACTAAACCCAATAATTTTGCAGTCATTTGAATAACAAAAGTAACCTATCCATCTATATTTACCGAGAAAAAGGAAGAGAGGAAATTTTGTGGCTTTCTCATTTGGTCATGCTATACCTATAAGCACCTTTTCTAACAAGAAACAACTGAAAGAATAGTAGTCTAGCCAAAAATATTAGAAAATGCAGCAAAAGCAAACAGTTCATGATCCTAACATTCAGCTAAAGTTACAAACCACTTACAATAATACAGACACATTTGGCAACAATGCTATAGCGCCATTTTCTTAGAAAGTATTTTGGCCTGCTAAAGATGAATGATAAAGCCGGGTTATAGTGGCCACACTGGGTAATTATCTACTATCACTGACACTTAAAGGAGTGGTAGAATACTGTGCAGAAGAGGGGGGATAATGACTAGCCTATATGTGGATTCAGATGCAGTATCGGAAACCAAAATAAGAATCTTACAGTCAGATTCGCTTTTTCCTAGATCTTAGAATTCAGGATACAGATAGAAGCAAGCAATGATACTGCTTAAAGTTATGTCCAACTCCGTAAAATAGAACCTGTGGAATGTAACTACAAATATCATGCCTGAGAAGATCCGTGAATATGAATTTTCCAGAAATATGGGGTGATGAAGGACAATTTACCTTTCACTAAAAGTGTAACTAAGAAAGTTTGCAATTCTAACATATAAACTTGCTAGTTATTTTTTAAATGTTGACAAGGATAACACTAGCCAAATGTTATTTTTCTTTACTTATTTTTGAAAGGTTAGACATCCATTAATGATAAACTCTAGCGGTGAACCATTTATGAATACACTGATATATTCGGTAACAATGCTATAGCACCATTAGTAACTCAGCAATTTGCCCACCTAAAGATGAATGAAAAAGTAACGCCGGGTATTTTCTACTATCAAGGACACTTGACTGATACAATAACATGTAGAGAGGGGGGACTCACTTATGGTACGTGGACTGGGGCTTCCTTATCATACACGGGTGCAAATTGAAGAGTCAGGTTCGTTGTCTCGTAGATTTTTGAATATGGGATACAGATAGGAGTACACTAATATGCTGCTTAAAATTATGTCCAACTCCAACATTAGAACTCTTAAAATGTAACTACAAGATCATGCATGAAAAGACTTTTGACAATTATACTCAATTAATTTTCAAAAAATGATATCAATAGGCATGACGATGAAAGTTTACTTGAACTTTCACTAAAAGTAAGTGTAATTGAAGATATTTTACTTTTTTAACAAGTTAATTTGCTACTAATTTTCTAAAACGTCAACAAGGATAACATTAGCCAAATGTTACTCTTCAGTTATTTTTTAAATGTTTGACATCCATTACTGTCGTGATAATATTGTTTTGTGTTCATTCAATCTAACACCTGCCAAATTCTTTCTTCTGTGTTAGGGACTTCACTCTGGATTATTCTTTAGAGTTGAGGGAAGACTTCAATGGGGGAATCTTCCACTTTTCAGCTAGGAAAAATGATGATGAAGATGATCGATACAGAGGATGCGAATGGGAAGACGGCAATGCCGAGGTTAATGGTAGCATAGCCAGACTAGCTTTTCAGCATGGGATGCTTCCTCCACTCCTCGCTCCTCCTAAAGAGCTCTCCAGTCATTTCTCAAAGGTTTCAATTTTCAATATTTTTCTCCTATCTTCTCTAATTCACCATATTGGAGTTTGTTTTCTTTCATTTTCCTTCTTTTCTTTCCTCTCTTCCTCTGCCCCCCACCCCCCCTCTTTTTCCCTCCTCCTTCATCTTCCTCATTACCTTTGTCCTCTTTGTCGATGTGCACTCCTTGCATCAGCTGAATGCAGTATAGATCCCACAACTCTGTTGAAATTGTCCCGTGTCAACACGGATCACCAAAAGTAACTGAAAGATCCGCATAAAATGCATGCCAGCTTATACAAAAATACATAAGTTCAGAAAAATGTGAAGCTTAGGGCTCCACAGGATTCATCTCATGAAGGTTTAAATCTGTGGTTGTATAGGCTAGTAAGCAGATCGTCCTTCAATCCAGAAGATTTTGGCTTTCAATCAAGCAAACAACAATTGACAACATAAAAAACTCTAGCTTTTAATGCGGAAGAGTTACGAATAGCCACTAATCAGAAGATAAGCATCCTTTATACGAATGATAGAAACAAGTGCTAAGCCATATGCTTGTGAGCTTGGTTTATACCCATTTTGCATGAGGTTCAACAAATGCACATTTGGTACTCTCAATCACAGAGCGACTGATAATAGAAATTAGATTTTACCTTCCACCATAAAGGAGAAACCCTAATGCTGCAAATAGGGATACACCTGCCAGTACATTGTGTTAGTACTTTGCAACAGATCCATACAATCAAAAGCACTTAAAATAAGTTAAACCTAAAACAAGAACCTGCAAAGAACATCTTGGATAAGATCACAAGTACTCGAATAGGTTTCCACCATATTATCAGCCACAATATAATCTGCAAGATATTAGAAAGAAAGAAATAATCAGCAATGAACATCCACCAAAAAGGTATAGCAATTTAAAAGAATAAATCTTTGTTTCACATGTTTCATGTAACAGTTCCACGAGAAAACATAAGCCTTTGTATGCCTAACTGTGACAGTAAGTGTCTCACCAAGAAATGCAGTCATGATAAAGTATCTTCAAACAGCAAACATGTGTTCCCATCAATGACACTTCATTTGATATAACCTAAGATATGAGCGGTCTCAACATTTTGTGATATACATGGCATTGTGCCAGTTTTAATTTCTTTTTCTTTTACCATTATAAAGGTTGTAATGTTGATAATCCAACAACCAGAAGGTGCTGCAGACCCTTGGAAGGGAAATATTTAATAATTACTGATGCTCATATGGAGGGTGCCCTTTTTGTTTGGGAGGGGAAGGGATGGCAAGGGAAATATGTGAACTACCCCATGAACGACATGACTAGATTTTGAACTCAGGCTGGGTTAAGAAGAGGTATCGAGCCAAGCTGAAGCCTTGTTGAATAACAGAGAAGATTTAAGGCCCATTTGCCATAAGATCTTAAAGACTGTATCCAGTTGTATAATTGATACGATTCAAGGCTCATTTACAAGATGTTTCTTGAAGTGCTACTCTTTCCCAACCACTTACCTCTAAGTTTATGCTGGCTTATAGAAGCTTCGAGCCCAACTGTAGCCTGTTTGTATGATTAAGTAAACTCAAGGCTCATTTACCATTCTATGATCTGCAACAGCCACGACGCTTCTCCTTCCCAAACACGTACCGCTAAGTTTATGCTGGCTTAGGTAAAGGCTTCAAGCCAGGCTGAAGCTTGTTTGTATAATGATTAAGAAGACTCAAAGGCTCATCTATCCAATTTTATGATCTTTAACAGCCATGGTGCTGCTCCTTTCCAAGAACATACCACTAAGTTTATGCTGGCTTAGGTAAAGGCTTCGACCCAAGCTGAAGCCCCATTCGTATTATCAAGAAGACTCAAGGCCCATTTATCATTTTATGATCTTCAACAGCCACAGTGCTGCCCTTTCCCTTATACATACAGCTAAATTTTATTGCTTGATGCCATCCATCCCAACCTCTGCTTCATATTAATTTGCCTCTTTCGAAGCAGCTTCTGCAACAAAACTGATGCAGATAAGCAAATGATGGTCCGTTAGCGAATTGCAGAACNGCCCATCTATTCATTTCTCTTTTTGAGCTGGAAAATAGTATTTACACACTATGTAGACCAACTTTAAACAATATATTATAAAATCAAGGAATGACAAAGAACTATTGGATAAAATTAAGTCAATAAAAAGAATACACAAAGGCAAAGAATGAAAAGATCTGTAAATTAAGAAAATCAGTGATAGTATGAAACCTGATTTTCATTTTTTTATATAAATATAGTGATGTCCAAACTCCCAGACCAGAGTTTATTTCTAGATAGCACCAAATAAGTTGATGCTCTTACAATACTGTTTATTCAACAAAAAAATAATTGCATAACTATCACATATTTACCTGGATAGCATAAACCACTCCATTAATTGTGAAGAAACTAGGTCTAAGCCCATCCGTGGATACGGCACGTGCCTGTGACAGGAAAGAGAGATATTTAAACCTCGACAAGAGAATAATCTGCACAGATTGAGAAAGAGACCACAAGTACCTGGTAGTATATCTCAGCCCAGAATAATACTAGCAGGGCATAAGTTGTGAAGAATGCAAGACTTGGCATATCAAGCAAAATATGTTGGACAATCTGCCAAAATGTAGCATACAACGTTAAGAACTGAAAGGAGTGTACAGACAAAGACATCAACCGGACATCAAGATAGTTGTGGTGCCTAACCTCGGGGTACAATTTCTGAACATCCCGCCGAAATGCAAAAACTAGCGAGCGAACTGCAAAAGAATATGAAGAGGCAATTAAATAACAAAGAGTAGCGTATAGGACTAATCATTTGAAAAACATGTGTAATGAAACTCCCCATTAGGATCTTTAGGGGGAGAAAATTAGAATAAGGAAAGACACCGACCCCCATTCACCAAGAAATTGAGAAAGTGGAAGACTTTTTGAGTGGTCCAACCATATTCAGGAACTCTCATTTGAATGCGAATTAATTGAACCTGAAATTGCCAAGTTGGAATGTCAGAAAAAAATTCCACAGCAGCAGATAAACTTAAGTATTAGCGCCAGCGAGAACAGTTGTTGAGAGCAACAACTGATTAACAATATAATTATTTGATGTGCGCGGACACACATATGACCTTAAACTTGAAACAAGTATACCAAAATCAATCAATGAGACACAGACAAAACCAATTTGGTGAAGCTTCAAATATCAAACTACAAATGTGTCCCTCTTTTTTGCACACGTAAACAAATTAGTGAGAAATTAAAACAGTTTTAACTTTAATCAAATATATACATACATATTATAAGTGCAATTTTTCCTGGTTCACCTGACCTCCTCATAATTTGCNACCCACCCAAAAAAGAAAACTAAAAACAATCAAAAACTTTCAGGGAGAAAAACCATGCAATTCTTTATTAAACGTTTTACCTAACTTTCCTTTTCGGTTTCAAATTTTGTTTTAATAACTATCAAGTTTCCATATTCGTTGCAAGTGCCGCCAAACACAAGTCAAATATGCCTCAAATTTGAAAGTTTCATAGAGCTCTCGTGTAATTTCATTCCCTTGACATTCAGATTCATTTCTGAAGTTACATGATGCACAGGAGATTCAATTCAAAATTCACAATAAAGAGGTCTAGTAAATTACCACCTACTATCAGATTTTTCATACATCTGCGAATTGCCATAATATGTGTGTATGCGTGTGCGCCAGCTTACTTACCAAATAACATCCAATTCAGGTAAAATTACATTCACAAAATTCAGAATTTCAAAAAGCAGAGAGGGAAAGAGAGAAATACAAGAGCAACGGCGGAGACAATGCCGTAGAAGATAGCGAGGACGTGGAATATACGGTCTTGCCAAGCTCGAGATCTGTTCACCTCTTCCCACCAACTAATTGCCTCATTCTTCAGGTGGTACGCCACCGCCGCCGCCGACGGGCCTACCACCATCTCTGCCCGTCCCATCGCCGGAGATTCCAAAATTCAAATCAAATCAGACTCCTGTTTGTTTCCTTTTTGGTACCCGAATTATTTTTTTCGTTTCCTTTTTTGCTTAAATCTTGTGTTCCTCTTTCTTTTTTCTTTTTTCTTTTTTCTTTTTTTTTAACGGCCGGCTAGGAAGGAGAGGTATAAATGTGCTTTACAGCCACGTATCTATCCTTGTCGGATTCCAAATACGATCACGTCGGGTGATGGAGTTATTCAGGGGTAATATTGTCATATATGTACAAATCCTTAATGCATTAAGTTAAGAAAATGAATGGACGAGTAACCGTCATAGCCGGTGATTCCTTCCCGCTTGTTTTGGACAAATTACACGTGGGGTGACGATGGAGATGGGTGTACTTTTCGTTTCGTATCTGCATTCAATTTACCTCATTACTTGTTCTTATCACAAACGATTTAGGAATTGTTATACAATTTTCCTGGTGGCTTTAAACTAATAAAATTATTTTTGAAATTTTAATAAGCTTTTCAGGAAAAATAATTTGAAAGACAAAGTTAGTTAAAATTTAAAATAACTCACAAAAAGTATCACGCAATAACATTTCGTCGGAAAATTTAATTAAATACAAATATAAATAATATGCAAAAAGAAAGAATGACGTATAGATAATGTAACGTCACATTGATCGATCTGTGCCACTTGCTCCATTAGTTAGGCGTTTCAATAACTTGTACATGCAGGTCCAGGGTTTGAGCCCCAACCCCATATGTGTTTCTATTGATTTTTAAGTTTTTGAGCTTTATTATTGAAAAGGGCTGCAATGTGACGCCCCATAAAATTTTCGCTATCTATTTCATCCTCGGAAACAGACAAGAGTGGTTGCTCTAGTGGTGAGCACCTGATAGTAGGCTATATTCATGCAATTTAGACACTACTTATATTCTAATTTAGCCGCACTTTATTGATATTTGAATGCTAAAAGATAACAAAATGCTCTAATTAAG